CTAGAGTTAAGAATGAAGCAGCCAGCTGATCTGAAGGGGGGGGGAGGCATAGAAATATGATCCAGGGAGCAAGTGTAAATTGTTACAACCTAATCAACTGTACCCTTGCCTATGGATGAAGTTGCTCAAAATTCCAACCATAAAGGAAAGGATTCTTCATATCAAGGATCAAGCATTTCTCCTCAGTACACTGGGTTGACGTTGTTGTTAATTTCTATCAAGTCGGTACCAATGCATAGCGACCCTATGCACAACAGAATGAAACACTGTCTGGTCCTGGGTGATTTAAAATATCACGGCTTCGGTCAGGTGTACCTTAAACCTCAAGCTGACATCTTTGCGGTTGGGCACTTTGAAGAGGTGGCGTGCAGCAGATTTGCCTAATGTCCTACACATTTGATTTCTCAACTGCTGCTTCCATGAGTGTTGATTGTGGATCCAAGCAACATGAAGCCTTTGACAATTTCAACCCTTTCTCAATTTATAATGATATTATTTATTGGTCCAGTGGTGAGGATTTTTGTTTTCTTTACATTGAGATGCAACCCATACCGAAGGTTGTGGTCTTTGATCTTTCTCAGTAAGTATTTCAAGTTCTCTTCTCTTTCAGCAAGTAAGGTTGCCTCATCGGCATATCACAGGTTGTTAATGAGCCTTCCTCCAATCCTTATGCCATGTTCTTCTTCATATAATACATCTTCTTACATTATTTGCTCATCATATAAATTGACTAAGTATGGTGAAAGGATGCAACGCTGGCGCACATCATGATTTTAAGCCATTCAGTATACCCTTGTGTGTTTAAACAACTGCCTCTTGGTCTATGTACAGGTCCCTCATGAACACAATTAACTGTTCTGGAATAACCATTCTTTGCAATGTTATTAATAATGTGTTATGATCCACACAGTTGAAAGGCTTTGCATAGTCAATAAAGCACAAGTAAACATCTTTGTGATATTCACTGCTTTCAACCAAGATCCATCTGACATCAGTAATGATCTCCCAGCAATGAGTCCTCTTCTGAATCCTGCTTGAATTTCTGGCAATTCCCTGTTGATGTACTGTTGCAACCATTTTTGAACTGTCTTCAGCAAAATTTTACTTGCATGTGATATTAATGATATTGTTCGATGATTTCCATATTGCTTTGGGCCACCTCTCTTTGGAATGGACACAAATGTGGAACTTTTTCAATCAGTTGGCCAAGTTGCTGTCTTCCAAGTTTCTTTTTTTTTTTTTTTAGTTTTTATTGTGAATAATGTGATAGTTTACATGGGAGAACATTAGCTTTACATTCATCCTATTGTATTTTGTTTCACTGCAATGATTACAATCCCCTCCGTGCATCTTCAAACAACCAAAAGGTACACCCCACAAGCCTGCCCCCCAAGCCTTCAGCACACAGCCCCTCTCCATCTGTGGTGTGTTCCACAGTCATTGAAGAAGCATGGGAAGGTCACTTGACAATAGAAGACCCTTGTTTCAAAACACAAAGACTTGACATCCCTTGACTCTCTTCTAAGCTGACTGCTGAGAGATGATCTTCTTGCATTGAGGCTGAAGTTTGGGGAAGCCACCAGTACTGTGTAGCTGGTATTGGTTTATCCTACAAACACAGCTCTTATAAATAAATTAAAAAATGAATTGTGAAAAATGAAAATAAAACTTTTTTTCACCAAGGATGTGGTTATACAATTAAAAAATAAATAAATAAATTAAGCCTGTGACTCATGGATCTAAATATATATACATCCTACCTCCCTTACCCATTCAGCCTACATCTCAATCTAGGTATCTACGTACAGAACACTGCTGTTCCAAGATTGTGTATATATCACTATTTACATCTTTCCCCTTTAGTCTATGCATACCTCCCTGTGTCGTTACCTATCTTCATTATTCTTCTTGTGTATCTGCCCTCTCATCACCCAGCTAACATGTGAATTACTTTCTAGGGTGTGTTTTAGTCTAATGTCTTTTGAGCTATAAAAGAGCAGATTAAGCAAGCAGCAACAAAGCAGAGATAGGGAAGAACATAGATGCTGTGCCATTTGAAAATGGCCAAGGAGCTGGAAAGAGAAAATTTGACAGAGAAAGAAAGCCTTCCTCTAGAGCTGGCACCTTGAATTCAAACCTCTAGTCTCCTAAACTGTGAAAAAATGAAAAAATAAATTTCTGCTTTTTAAAGCCAACCACTTGTGGTATTTCTGCTATAGCAGTACTAGATGAGTTTAAAAAAAACAGAATCAAACTCAAAATCAGGCCAAGGCCAATTCCTATGAGCCAGAGGTCAGACATGCCTCCACCTTACAACCTTCTTTGACCTCTTCTGACACTAACCATCTCTCCCACAACACTCTCTGTTTCACATCTGGGTTTGATAATCTGTTGCAATGGCCACACTAAACTCATAGACAATATGCATTATTATGGGATTTATTGGGGGAATAAGCAGGGTGCAATTCAGGATCAGAAACAACTCAGGATGCAGCAGTCCAAGTCAGGAATGACTCTTCTCTGCTTTACTGCAGACACACCTAGCTCTCTTCTTCAGCCTTTCAGCCTCTGGGCCCTTGGCTGCTGCCCTGTTACAAAGCTCCTTTAATGCTGTCTATAAATGCCCAAAGGACACATTTTGCAAGCCAGTTTCCTGCTTATAGTCACTCAGCTTTACTCCCTGCCTGTAGTCACCCAGCATTACTTTGTTCATGGACCAGGAGGCCAGCAGTTGCTCTGTCTCCCCATGCCACTGCCTCTGCCTTGCCGCTTTTCCGAGTAGGGATCTCATGTTCTGCTCATGGCTCTTCTTTCTCGAAGGTCTTGGAATCATCTGCTCCTGCTTCTCAGGTGACACCTTTTAAATCCAGAGGACGACAAAACAAACCAATCCCAGTGTAAGGGTCACATACACCCTATTTGCATGCTCCCATCCAATCATCTGGAGTCCTGGAGTGACACTGTAGTATAAGCAGTGGACTGCAAGGTTGATTTGAACTGCAAGGTAGTGGTTCAAACCCACCAGCCGCTCCTCGGAAACCACATACTCAATGGCACTTAACAACAACAACTGCATCCAATCATTTGCTGGAAGTCTTAAAGATCATGGCTAGAAGAGACATATTAGGTAAATTTACTATATCACAATAAGTAAAACAGAATGCTTTCCCATTTGACATGGGAAAACACAGGACAGTACAAAGGAAAAAAAATAAGCCTACTACCCTTCCACACAAAAAGCATTTTCAATTCTGTTTCTGATGTATCTTATTGTCTTAGATATCTAGTGCTGCTGTAACAAATACCACAAGTGGATGGCTTTAACAAACAAATTTATTTTCTCACAGTTTAGGAAGCTAGAATTCCAAATCTGGGATGCTGGCTCTGGAAGAAGGCTTTCTCTGTTTGTCAACTCTGAAGGTCTTTGTTCCTTGGTTCCATGGTGATCTTCATTTGATGTGGCATTTATGTCCCCCAATTTCTGCTGCTCACTTGTTCGTTTAATCTTTTTTATACCCCCAAAGGGATTGATTTAAAACACATCCTACACTATTACGGTCTCATTAGAATAACAAAGAAAACCTTACTCCCAAATGGGATTATAACCACAGGACTAGGGGTTAGGATTTGGGAGAAGACCAAACAAACATCTTCTGCATGTTAACACATTCTTTCTCATCAGAAATGGAATCATGAAATAAAACCTTTGAACTGGACCTTGATAAAAAGCAGGAAACTTCCAGACAGACAAGGAGCTGTGAAGGGCCTCCCAGGCAGAGAGACTATCTGTGGAGCAGTGACAACCCTATGCGGTGGCTGAAGGCACATGCCGTGGTGCTGCAGTGATGGAGGTTCAATAGGCCGCTCTCAGACAGATGCTAAGTTAAAGGGGGGAGGGACGGGGTCTTGGGGAGGAACAAAAGCAGAAAATTTTCAGCCTATTTTCCCTATGACAATACTAGGCCTTGTAGGGGTATTAGAGATGTTGCCCAGCTAGCCAGGATGAGGACACAGCGCATCCACAGCCATGGACTAAGTGTTAGAGTCCTGGTGTGGCGCTGTAGGATGAAGCACTGGACCCAAAGGTCGACTTGAACTACAAGGTCAGTGATTCAAACCCACCGGTCACTCCTTGGAAACCCTGTATAGGGTGGCTATGAGTTGGGGGGTAAATTGCCTCTTGTTGGTTGGATGCAGGAACATGGGGAAGTTTCTGAGCCCCTATGACCCTGTTTCTTTCTCTGCAAAGTGGCAGTCAACACCTTTAACCTTAGCACTCTGTCCAAGGGCTCTTCCTTGGGGCCTATGTCCCCAGACTTCATTTTTGAAATCTAGATGGGGTCTTATCTTCCTTCATATCTGCTGGTGATCCATCCAACCCAGAATTTGCAAAGGCTCCTCAAGTCCAGAATCCCATCACTCCTCAAATCCAGACTCCCCATTTTTTGTCTCTCAACTCCATAATGCTCAGGGATCCAAACCCTCCATTACCCCAAAAACGCCAAGTGCAGGATCCTCCCAAACCCCACCACATCCTTCCAAGTTCCTACTGTTTTAGGCAAAGGCACATTGCAAAATTCCTGAGTGCCTATTGCTTACAAAGATCTGCTGGAGGCTGCAGGATCCCCTAACAAGCCTAGGTTCCAATTCTGCACCCCATTTTTACAAGCTGGGCCTTAACTTCTTAACTTCTCTTAACCTCAATTCTCCTTGCTATACATAGGATAACAATCTCCTCTGTGGAAATGAGAAACCCTGTCCCGGGTCCTCAGAAAACAGACGCAGTTCTTGAGGCAAGGCAAAGCCAAGTACTCGTGCCGGTTCACATAGCGAGGACTCCAACCTACCTGCCAGGTAGGTCACCGCACGGGTCGGGGCGCTAGCACGGGATCAGCCAAACTCAGCAGTGTTTGGGCCTGGGCGGGTCGCCAGGTGAGTGTGTTCCAGGCGCTCAAACTGCGTTGCTGCCTGGATTTCGTTAATCGGGTAGACTCCTGGCCATGGAGGCGCGCGCGGGGGGCGCTGCGGAACCTAGGAGGAGCAGAGGAGGTACGGGAAGGAGGGCCTGGAGTGAGGAAGGGGGCGCGGTCCCTGACACCCCTAGTGCCGCCTGTTTGCTCCTCACCTTCTCCTTCCTGCTGGTTGTAAACAGAGCAGCTCTAGCGCCCAAGTCTCGGTGGTGTAAGGGGCCCAGCGAGGGAGGCTGGGAGTATGACTCGCCTATTCATCTCCACCTATACAGATGGGTTGGACCCAGGTCCGGGGGCTTTCAGGAGGGCGGGTGTGTGTGTGTGTGTGTGTGTGTGTGTGTGTGACTGCCCGGGGTCACTGGTGGACAAGTGGGCAATCAGGGTCAGATGTAAATTTGAGTAAGGGGGCGGGAGGTAACTTGGGTCTCTGGTAATATTGCAGAGGAAATCTGGATTTTTGTGGGCTACCTGGGGGCAAGGGGGGTAGCTGAAGTTCCTTAGGATATACAAGGGGGCTTCAAAAAGTTCGTGGAAAATGGAATGAAACGATTATGGCATTTTCCCACGAACTTTTTGAAGTCCCCTCGTAAAGATGGGGAACAAGGCTTGGGGAGGTGGGGTAATGAGAGACAGTCCAAGCACTCTCAAGATGTATGGGGGATTCAGGGTCCCTGGATACATTGGGGGTGGGGTGGGAGTTTAGAACCTCGGGTTATTAGGGAGCAGTCGAGTTCTTGGTTATGTTGAGGGCAGTCGGAGATCTTCATATGGTCGTCAGAGAAGTCTGGGAATATTGCAAATAGTTATTATCTCCAGGGATATTGTGGGGTAGGGTGTCCATAGGCAGACCTGGAAAGATGGGAGGTCGCAGAGATATTAAGGGACAGTCAGTGACCTCTATACTATAGAAAGGCATTTCTATGTCTTCAGACAACTGCAAGTAAGGGTCTTCTCAGGGGTTTGGGGTCAGCTTTGACCTGTTCCCCTCCCACGCGTGCAGGCCACAGCTTCCCAAAACCGGCGGGTTCCAGCGCCAAGCAGATCCTGGCGCGGTTGGACGCGCGCCCTCTGGCGGCCCGAGCTGCGGACGACGTGGCGGCGCTGGTTCGCAGGGCTGGAGCCACATTGCGCCTGCGCGCCAAGGAGGGTGAGTGACGGGGCGGTGTCTTCCCGAGAGGTGGAGTCTGAGAAGATTAGTTGCTCTAGACTGGCAAGACGGAATTCTTGTTATTGTTAAGTACTCTAGAGCAGGTTCTGACTTATAGCGTCCTATGCACCACAGACGAAACATGGCCAGTCCTGCACCATCTTCACAATTGTTGATAAGCTTGAGCCCATTGTTGCTGCCGCTGTATTGATACATTTCCTTGGGGGGTCTTCCTCTTTTTCGCTGACCCCCTGTCCCAAGCATGATGTCTTCCAGGAACTGGTCCCTCTTGACAATATGTCCAAAGTACAAGAGACAAAGTCTCGCCATCCTCTCTTCTAAAGGAGCATTCTGGTTGTACTTCTCCCAAAGATTTGTTTATTCTAACTGTTCATGGTACTTTCAGTATTCTTTGCCAACACCGTGATTCAAATGCACAGATTCTTCTACAGTCTTCCTTATTCATTATCTAACTTTCACATCCGTATGAAAATACCATGGCTTGGGTCAGGTGCACTTTAGTCCTCAAACTGATATCTTGAGTTTTTAACTCTTTAAAAGGGTCTTTTGCAGCAAATTTGCCTAATGTCTTTTGATTTCTTGACTGCTAGCTTCCATGAGAATTGATTGTGGATCCAAGCAAAAGGAAGTCTTTGAGAAATTCAGTCTTTTCTCCAATTTGTCATGATGTTATTTAGTGGTCTAGTTGTGAGGTGCAATCCATACTGAAGTCTTTAGTCTTCATCATCAAGTATTTCAAGTCCTCTTCGCTTCCAGCAAGCAAGGTTGTATCATCTGCATCTCACAGGTTGTTAATGAATTTTCCTCCAATCCTAATGCCAGCTTCTCTGATTATTTGTTCAGCATACTGATCGAATAAGTATGGTAAAAGGATACAACTCTGCTGCTCACCTTTACTAAGTTTAAACCATTCAGTGTCCCCTTGTTCTGTTTGAACAACTGCCTCTTGGTCTATGTACAGGTTCCTCATGAGCACAATAAAGTATTCTGGAATAACCATTCTTTGCAATGTTATCCATAGTTTGCAATAATCCACACAGTTGTTGTTTTTGTTCTAACAGTACTTGGAGACTCATTGAAGCCCCTGGGTGATCCAACAGTTAAGGTGCTCAACTACTAACCAAAGAGTTGGAGGTTCAAATTCACCTAGAAGTCGCTCAGAAAAAAAGGCTGGTGATCTACTTCCAAAATATCAGCCATTGAAAACCCTATGGAGAGGGAGAGGGGCGGTATGCGGACGACCGGGGGACAGGCTTGCAGGGTATACCCTTTAGTTGATGGATGATGCATGGGAGGGATTGTAACCATGGCAAGGAAACGATATACGACAGGATCAATGTGAAGCTGATGTCCTCCCATGTAAATTATCACATAATTCACAATAAAGCATAAAAGAAAAAATAACAAAGGAAAAAATCACATGATCATCTCAATTGATGCAGAAAAGTAATTGGAAAAAAAAAAGAAAAAAGAAAATCCTATGGAGCACAGTTCTACTCTGACACACAAAGGGTCACCGTAAGTTAGAATTGATTCCGTGCAGCGTAGTGGTTACGAATCGGGCTGCGAACCTTAAGGTCAGCGGTTCGAAACTACCAGCCGCTCCGCGGGAGAAAGATGAGGCTTTCTACTCCCGTAAAGATTTACACCCTCGGAAACCCTGTACAGGGTCGCTATGGGTTGGAACCGACTCGATGGCACTTAACAACAACAACAACATGACAAAGGTGTAAAGTTTGTTATCTCTTTAAGGTAATTCAGACAATCCCCTCAAAGAGCCTTGGTGACACAGTGATTACGCTCTGATAACTGCAAGTAGGCAGTTCAAACCCACCAGCTGCCCTGAGGGAGGAAGATGAAACAGTCTGCTTCTACAAATATCTACAACCTTGGAAAGCCGATGGGGCAGTTCTACTGTGTCCTATAGAATCACTATGAATCAGAATTTGCCTAGAAAGCGGTTGGTTTGGTTTTGGTCAAGATAACGCCTTCAACTCCAGGCCTGGGTGTTGGAGTTCTCCCTTGGGTGGATTACTAGCAGGATGGCTCACAAATAGAGCAATGCTACCCCCTAGGCATACAACTGTTAAGAGATCATTCCAACTATCTCCTTGCTTTGGACTTTTGTTTGTGCAAACCGATAAGGCGAGAGTAGGGAAGACTGGAATCTGAGTCCCTACTACAAGGAGTCCTGGTGTGATGCTGTAGGATAAGCACTCAACTGAAAGGTCCGTTTGACCCACAAGGTGGGTGGTTCAAACTCAGCAGCCACTCCTTGGAAACCCTATAACAGGCTCACTATGACCCACTTAATGGCACTTAGCAACACAGTTGAATTCCTTTGCATAGTCAACAAAGCACAAGTAAACATCTTTCTGGTATTCGCTGCTTTCAGCCAAGATCCATGTGATGTCAGCAATGATATCCCCTGTTCCATGTCCTTTCTGAATCTAGCTTGAATTTCTGGCAGCTCCTAGTCAATGTACTGCTGCAATCATTTTTGAATTATTGTCAGCAAAAGTTTACTTGTGTGTGATATCAATGATATTGTTAGATGACTTCCGCATTCTGTTGGTTCACCTCTCTTTGGAATGGGCACAGATATGGATCTCTTCCAATCGGTGGGCGGTTTTCCAAATTTCTTGGTGTAGAGTGAGTGGTGCTGCATCAGTTTGTTGACAGATTTCAATTTGTATTCTATCAATTATTGTTGTTGTTGTTGTTAAGTGCCGTCGAGTTGTTTCCGAACCATAGTGACCCTGTACAGGGTTTCCGAGGCTGTAAATCTTTACGGGAGGAGAACACCTCATCTTTCTCCCGCGGAACAGCTGGTAGTTTCAAACTGCTGGTCTTAAGGTTCGCAGCCCGATTCGTAACCACTACGCTAATTATTGGAACCTTGTTTTTCCCCAATGCCTTCAGTGTTCCTTTGGCCTTCTTCCTTCAATACCATCTGTTCTTGAGCATATGGTACCTCATGAAATGATTGAACATTGACCATCTCTTTTTGGTACAGTGGCTCTGTGTATTCCTTCCATTTTATTTTGATGTTTCCAGCATCACTCAATATTTTGCCCATAGAATCCTTCAATATTGCAACCTGAGGCTTGATTTTTTTCCTTCAGTTTTTTCAACTTGAGAAATGGTCTTCCCTTTTGGTTTTCTTTCAACTCTAGGTCTTTGCACATCTCATTTATAATACTTTACTTTGTCTTCTCCGGCTGCCCTTTGAAATTTTTTATTCAGCTCTTTTTACTTCATCATTTCTTCCAGTTGCATTAGCTTCTCTATGTTTAGGAGCAAGTTTCAGCATTTCTTCTGACATCCACTTTGGTCTTTTCTTTCTTTCCTGTCTTTTTAATGACCTACATACTTTCTTGATGTATGACATTCTTGATGTTATTCCACAACTCTTGTGTTCTTCCTTCAATAGTGTCTAATGCATCAAATTTGTACTTGAGTTAGTCTTTAAATTCAGGTGAGATATACGCAAAGTCATATTTTGGCTCTCGTTTTAATTTTCTTCAGCCTGAACTTGCAAACAAGCAATTGATGATCTGTTTGTTCCACAGTCAGCCCTGGCCTGTTTTGACTGATGTAAAACCAAACTCACTGCCATCAGTAGATTCCAACTCATAGTGACTGGAATTTTAGGGGTGGGGCTTGGAGGCTGATTGGAGGGGATGGGGCCTTGAGAGTATCCTAGAATATTACTTTAGAAGGGTGTTGCCTCTTGACAGAGATGAATTGAGGTTTCCAGGTGGAATCGTTTCCCCTCTCAGCAGGGCTTGGAATGCTATTTTTGAGGAGACTGAGTCTGGACAGTTGTTGGTGAGGGCAGTTAGTACAGCAATGGGGCCTGGATAGCTATAAACGAATCGGTGGCAGGACTTGAAATGGCATGGATAAGATGGAGTTTTTTTAGACAGCAAATTGGTGGTAGGGCCTGAAATGTTTTTGCCAAGTCCTGTATTAACATCCCCTGGGGGTGAATCTGAGGGTGTTAATTGAGAGGGTGGAGTCTGGATGGTAGTAGAGTTTGGGAGGGAGGTCTGGGGGATAAGTCCAACGTCCAGGACCAGAATGTTAGTTAAGCAGGTGGTGTGGGTGGAGCCTGGGCTATTACTTGAGGGATTGTTAATTGGGTGGGCCAGACTAGGATATTGAGTTCACAGAGATGAGGACCGAATGTTAATTTAGTGGGGCAAACCTAGATAATTTCTGTGGAGTGTCCCCCAATTGTGCCCTTTCATCATCTTCCATCCCCAGGCGTCAGTGGGCTGGACTCTGCGGATATAGAGGTCACTGATAGTCGTCTGCCTTATGCACCTCTTGTGAGACACCGGAACCAGGTATTGCCCCTGTTCTTTTATTCAAGGCCACTGTCCTTGGGTCTAGCAACCTAAGTGCTCCTGTGTTCTTTCTCTAGCATCCTCGGTTAGAGACCCTGGGTACCAGTAAGATGCTTCCTGGAGAGACTCAGGATGAGGCATGTTGTGCTTTGAAACCACCCTCTGGTCGGTTCTGTGTGGAGTTGATCCGCGGTCCCGTGGGCTTCGGCCTCACCTTTAGTGGGGGTCGAGATGTAGTGACCAGAGACAGGCCACTGGCTGTGGGAAAGCTGCTGGAAGACGGGCCAGCGCAGCGCTGTGGTCGTTTGCAGGTGAGCATCAAGGCTCCCTCCGTTCTCTTCCAGGTGCTAATTCTTTGTTAGGGTGCCCTCTATTAGTCCTTCTTATAACACCCTGTGACTCGTGCTCTTGCAGACCGGCGACCTGGTGCTCTACATCAACGGGGAGTCCACGCACAGCCTCACCCTGACTCAGGTCCTAGAGCGGATCCGCTCTGGTGGTTCCCGCCTATGCCTCGTGCTCCTCAGGCCTGTTGATAGCCATCCCCGCAAGCCTGAGGGTTTGGGAGAGCCCCAGAAAAGAGGTGGGGAAAATCCTAGGGAAGGGGGGACTCAGGGATCTGTGTGTGGGAAAAACAGTGGCATCACTCGGATTGGTGTCACCCCGTAAACAAAATTCTTAGTGGTGGTTATGTGCTGTGGAGTTGGTGCCGACTCATAACGACCCTGTATAGGGTTTCTGAGATTGTAAATCTTTATGGGAGCCGAAAGCCTCATCTTTCTCCCACGGAACAGCTGGTAGTTTCAAACCTAGAGGTTAGCAGCCCAACTCATAATCACTACGCTGCCACAGCTAGAATAATAAGTGGTAAATATAGTTGTAAATTGCTTAATGTAAGATGTCTTAGATTATATGAATATTGACAAATTGTTTTGTAAATTCTTTTGACATTGGATTATTTTACTAGTTTGTAACTGAGTTGAATTTTCTCCTTTTCCTTGAATGCTACTTCATTCTCAAAAAAGTAATTGATATAGGCATACAGATATTAGTTACATTGTAGGTAAAATGCCAGAAAATTTGACAAAATCAGCGAGAAATGACATCAGCAAATACTTGTAGCATGTGCATATTAAACCATGATTCAAAGCATCATTGTAATTGGGTAATAATGACTGCTCTTACGTAGTGCATTAGAAGGTTCCAAATGTAATTAGCATGGAGTTCTAGCCTTATAGGCATATTGATACAAGTAACTAAATTTATGAAAAAAAATGTTTTTGTTGCTACAACTAACTACAGAGATATTCTTATTTAAAATAATAAATTTCTGCTAAAACACTACACAAAAATTTTAAAGACAGTCATGCTGTTGTCACTCTTTCTGACAGTGTGACCCAGTGTGGGCCACACCCTCTTAGTAATGCCACTAGGGAACAAGAGGATTGCAGAGTGCGAGGGTAGGTTTTGGATGGGGAGTAATGGTTAGTAGTCTCAGTGGGGAGGTTCAGGAGGAGAGGTTGTTGTATGAGGATAAGTCAATAAGTATTGCTACTACTATTCAATTTCATACATACACGAGTGTATTACAAACAAAACATGTTTAAAACATGTTTCTGCAGTCAGTGGATGACTGCAGACAAGTTCTCTCAGTAATAAATACACTTGTCTTAGTCTCATTAGGGTGCCTTTAAAAAAAGAAGAAGGTCCAATCAAAATAGTGGCTTCTGAGTGGATTTGCTTGTAGCGTAGTGGTTACGAATCGGGCTGTGAACTGCAAGGTCAACACTTGGAAACTACCAGCTGTTCCATGAGAGAAAGATGAGGCTTTCTGCTCCTGTGAAGATTACAGCCTTGGAAACCCTGTACAGGGTCGCTATGAGTCGGAACTGACTCCACGGCACATAACCACCACCACCACCACCAGTTAAATTCAAGGCAGAGAGATCACCTCAGAAAGTTATAATGACTGTTTTTGGGGGGAATTCCAAACAGATAACTTTGATAGATTTTGTTGAAAGACAATTATGGGGGCTTACTTGATTCTTATGAGTTATGGTGTTGGAGGAGAATATTGAAAGTGGATTGGCCAAATGGCAGCATCGATGGACTCAAGCGTGGCAACAGGATCAGGCAGTGTTCTGTTCTGCTGTGCATAAGGTCGCTATGAGTCAGTGCCGACTTGATGGCACCTAACAACAACAACAAATTATGAAGCAGTTTTAAGAAAATTTAAAACTGCATTGGTGAGAAAAAGGCTGGGAAAGTTGAGCCAAGGATTTTTTCCCCCATCATGGCAAAGCATCTGCTCATTCTTTGAGAGTAGCAAGTGTTGTGCTAGGAGAATTTAGTTGGGAAATCTTTCCCCATCCACCCTACAGCCCCTTCAGACTTCGTTTTGTTGCCCAGATTCAGAACATTTGAAAGGAACTGACTGGATTTGAGTCTCCAGAGAATACTAAAACTGTTTTTTGATTTGGTGTCAATTGAAGAGTGCAAAATTCTTCTGGGGAGGGTTAGAGAGATTAAAAATACCTCCTTCAGAAGTACATAGACCTAGTTGGAGAATATGTTGAGAAGCAATAGCTTCACATTTTGATAGTTTTGTTTAGTAAAGGTTTCTATGAGTTTTGAAGTCCTGGCATGGCACTACAGGATAAGCACTGGGCTGCTAACCACAAGGTTGTCATTTCAAATTCACCAGCCACTCCTTGGAAGCACTGTACGAAGTCTCTATGAGTAGGAACTGACTCAGTGGCACTTAACGACAGCAACAATGATTTTGTAGCAATGCTTTTTACTTGCCCTCATATTTTCAAAAGCATTTCAGGTTGGAAGGGTCCCAATATGGGGAATAATTAGTTGTTTGTTTTAGAGAGGAGTTTTTGAGCTGCTGGGAGGAGAAAGGAAGGAAGGAATCTGTTGTAAATGTAAGTGTTCAGAGGGAAAGGTTGTTGTTACTGTTAGGTGCCATCGAGTCGGTACCGACTCATAGCAACCCTATGTACAATAGAACGAAACACTGCCCGGTCCTGGGCCAACCTCACAATTGCTGCAACACTTGAGCCCATTGAAGCTGCCACTTTGCCAATCCATCTAGCTGGGTGTCTTCCTCTCTGACCCTCCACCTTACCAAACATGACATCCTTCTCCAGCGACTGGTCCCTCCTGACAATATGTCCAAAGTATGACAGATGAAGTTTGGCCATCCTGGCCTCCAAGGAGCACTCTGGCTGCACTTCTTCCAACACAGATCTGTTGATTCTTTTGGCAGCCCATGGCACTTTCAATATTCTCCTCCAACACCATGACTCAAAAGCATCAATTCTTCTATGGTCTTCCTTATTCACTGTCCAGCTTTCACATGCATATGAGGTTATTGAAAATACCATGGCTCGAGTCTGGCATACCTTAGTCTTCAAGCTGACATCTTTTGCTCTTCAACACTTTAAAAAGGTTTTGTGCAGCAGATTTGCCTAATGCAATATGTCGTTTGATTTCTTGACTGCTGCTTCCATGAGTGTTGATGGTTGATCCAAGAAAAGATTAAGGAAGGCAAAGCATAGGGGTCTCAGCGGGGAGGTAATAGTGTACTAGAAGGTAAAGGAGTCTAGCTCCAAAAGACCAGAGCTTGATGAGGGAAAAAAGGGGTGAGAGTTGAAAGAGGGGTGAGCAAGGAGTCCTAGATGGAAGGGTTTGGGGTTCTCCAAGGTCAAGTTGTTGTTCTTGTTAGGTGCTGCCGAGTCGGTTCCAACTCAGCGACCCTGTATAGGGTTTCAGAGAAGTGGCTGTTGGGTATGAACCCCCAACCTTGCAGTTCAAACCAACTTTGCAGTCCAATGCATTGGTTGGTTGGTTGGTTGGTTATGTGGCGTGGTGTCTGTTCCGACTCACAACGACCCTGTACAGGGTTTCCAAGGCTGTAAATCTTTACAGGAGCAGAAAGCCTCATCTTTCTCCCACTGAACAGCTGGTAGTTTCCAAGTGTTGACCTTGCAGTTCGCAGCCGGATTCGTAACCACTACGCTACCAGAACTCCTTAGTCCAATGCCTTTGAGGGTTATGGGCATTTATTTCTGAGTGGCAATGTCTTGGATCCAAAGCGGGGGTGGGGTGGGGGGGTGTCTCAGTAAAGGCAGTGTCCCTACAAGGGAGGTATCTCTAAGAGCGAGGATCCCTGTCTCCCACCATCCTTGGGTGCATCCCGGCCACCCTCAGTCTAAGACTACCCTCTCTACCTCCCACCCAACAACCCAGTCTAACTCGCAGTCCTGTCACTCCTAGATCGCAGCCCAGATCCTGGGGGACCGAAGGGAAGAAGGCCTTGCAGTGCCAGCGCTTCCTCACTTCAGCACCCTGGGTCTAGGAAGACTGCCAAGACCCAGGGCAGCCGGGAGCCCAGCTTAGAGACGGAGGTCCACAGCACCGCGGTTACTCCTGCTGAATGCCGTACAGAAGACCCGGGCGACCAGACTCCCAGTTTCCCGGGACCCTGGCTGGTGCCCAGCGAGGAACGGCTCTCACAAATCCTCAGGGTCCCCTGAGGCGCGCAGCTCGCTCTGGAGATGGCAGCCGGAAGACGGAGGCACTGAGCAAGCCTCGGAGGGGTTGGTGCTCAATTGGTACAGCCCTGCTGCAGCGTAGCAGCACGTTCTGGAGAGCTTCTGCATACTCTGGTGTCCCTCTCTTGCTGTGCAGTAGACCAGGCGCTCCCCTCGTGGCGTCAGTGGTACGGCCGGCCCTGACTACCAGTCCAGTGCTTCCAGTCCAGGGCAGGGGAGGTAATAAAATCGTTCTATCCAGTCTGGACTTGCGAGGTGCTCTAGACCGGGTGGGGCTGCATAGCCCACCCTATAAAGGAGGAGTGGTTCAATCTGGTTTCTAGGCGATCCTCTTCTACGGACGTGCTTACTTTTTGCTGTTTGTTTCATGCTCCCAGACGGATTTTTGCAGCTGTGCTCTCTACCTACTCCTTTTTTCTCTCTTCACAAACTCCTGTTCCTCTCTTCATTCACATATTTAAAGTTTTGGAGGGGCGCACCGGCTCCCAGATAATTATTGCGCACAGCATTGGGAAACCGAGGTGGGCCTGTTGTGATGGGAGTGTACCAGTAACCCTGCAGTCTTCCCCTCCCCGCCGCGTGTACCTCCCTCCCCCAACTCCGGAACCATTCAGACCCTCAGCTAATGTCCGAATAGCCTGGCTAGAAGCAGGGCGGTTTCTTTCACCAGGAGCCTGTGGTCTCCCACTTCCGGTCTTGTTTGCCAGCTTTTGCTGGCACGTAGACTGGGGCCCTGGAGCCCCTTTTGGGGCGGAGCCGGGAAGGTGTGAGTCAGCTCCCCCGGGCGGGCCAGGCTAAAAAAGGCTGTTAGAATCTTTGGGCCGCGCCCATTTCTTCCATAGATGGTGACGAACTAGGACCATCTGGACGTGTGTGCACATGCCACACGCAGGGTATTCCGGTCACAGGAGTCTCCTCCACCCTGGGAACTGATCCCTACAGTCGTGGCTTCTACGTCTAGCGGGACTCCAACCGTAATATCCTCAAGGCAGGCTTTGGCTGAGACCAGAAATGACCAGTCACCTTCGATGTCACCACATCCTGAAAGCTTGGTCTCAGCACCACCGCCACCCCCTACTACAACGAAGGAAGCTGTGGTTGGCCTGGCAACCTTCGTCCCTATGGGGAGAGAAGAGGGGGAAGAGAGAGAAAAGGTGCTTAGTGTGAGAGCCCAGGGTGGCGCTGGGGAGGAGAGAGGAGTCGACTGAAGAGTCAGGCTGGGAGGTGAAGACATGAATAGTTAATGTTGTAAACATTATAGGGGAGCATGCTGGGGCTTCCAGCTATCCCTGACTCAGCCTGGTGGAGGTGTGACTCTACCAAAGTCAGGAAAGGGCCCCAGAGTACCAGTTCTATAAACACAGCCACACCCAGGAGACTAATAATAGTAACCCCAGCCACCATTTACTTTGTCTTATCTCTGCTACCCCTCTCGCTTTATCGCTTTTCATCTTATATCTGTTTAAATCTAATGTGTTTGTGTTCATTTCACAGAGGAGGGAAGTGAGGTCCAGAGAGCTTGGGGGAGGGACTGAAACAAGATTTAATTAAGATCTGATCCCCTGGTCCCAAACCTGTCCTCTTAATCTTACCTGCATTTGACAATTATTAATTGAGCCCCAACTGTATATCTTGCACTGTGATAGGCACTGGGGAGATCTGGGATGGGAGGAACAAACCAGAAAGATTTCTACCCTTGTATAGTTGATTCCTGGAGTGGTACTGTAAGATCAGCACTAGACTGCGAACCAGAAGGTTGGCAGTTCAAACCCACCATCTGCTTCACTGAAACCCTATACAGCGTCGCTATGAGTCGGAACCAACTTGATGGCACTTAACAACAACATAGATGATGTAGTGAGGGCCTACATATAAACAAGAAATACAAGAAAATGGATAAAAGATAATTTCCAAGAGATATGAAGATACCCAAAGGCTATGTTGAGGGAGGCTTTTAAGACCTAGCATTTGAGCTGGGACCTGAATGACCAGAAGAGAGGAATGAAGAGCTGGGGAAGGGTACTAACCTCAATGAGAACAGTAAGTGCAAAGCCCTGAGGCAGTAAGGAACTTGTTCTAGTCCAGAAACTCAGACCTGCCCTCACAGTTAGAAAAGACAGGACTGACATTGAAAAAGTATGCTTCAATCACTCAGCTGTCTGAGCTGAGAGACAGGAACCCCTTGCTTGGCTTTGAGTGGTACCAGGTTGGGTTGAACTGTTCTGGCTTTAACAACGAGTTTCTGGCCTCAAATGAGAAACCGAAGTCCAGTCTGCAGAACACGCCCTTAGGCACATCTCAGGGAATCTTGAGTTTAGCTAACCAGGTGCAGTTTCAGAAGCAGAAACTGAGGCCAGGCTCAAATTACTCTGCAAATATCACACCCCAGGACATCTTGCTGAGCCCTCAGCAGTAAACCTATGCTTCAAGTCTCTCAGAGGTAGGGCTCAACTGACAGCTCTTCCCCTCAGAATCAGGAAACAGACCCAGAATTTAGGGCCAAGATTTTCCAACCCAAGAACACAGAATCAGATCCTGGGTCCTCTGGGCTCTGAGTTAATTAATAATTTCACCAGGCCCTGGTCTCAGCTTTTGCAGCTGCACAGTCATTTCAGGTCCCCTGACTGCAAAGAGGTTTATTCCATGGTCCATAATCTTTTATCTGCAATTCTGAAGTCCAAAAAGCTCTGGAAACTGACAACTTTTTCCACAAGTTTGGTACCATTTGGTTACAAAACCTGACCTGGCCTAACAAGGGACAATTTTCAGTCTTACCTTAAAAAAAAAAAAAAAAAGTGTTAGAGCTTTTTTTTTTTTTTTTTTTGTGGTAAGTTACAATTCAGAAGTCTTTCCACTGCAA